GCTGCTCCTGCCAGCCGGTCAGCGGCCGCATTGCCCGCCTTGTCCTCCTCGGACATGCCATGGGCGCGCGCGTCCTGGGCGTCCGCGTGGCCCTTGATCCAACGTTCCGTCAGGAACCCGTCCTGGCTGTGCTCCGACGCGCTCCCAAAGATCGGAGTGCGCCCCAATCAAGGTAGCACGCGCCAGCGCGCAGGGCGACCACGCCATTGCGGACGAATCGGGCGCCCCCGCAAGGCTGACGGCCTGGACGGCGGCGGTCAGCGTGGCGCGCTGCGCAGTCTGCGCCCCGTCCACCAGCACGCTGTGGTCGGTCGAGCCGCGGCCTCCCTCCAACCGCAGCCCCCAGGCAGCCCAGGCCATCAGCGGGCCCCTTGGTCGCACGCACGCACCGTCGGCCCAAGCCCTCCAGCGCGGCTGCGGCGGCGCTGGCAGCTGGGCAGCTGGGCGGCAGGGCCCGGCGGCCTCCTCGGCGAGGGTGGCGACACGCCCGTGCTCGCCACGCCCAGCGGCAGCCGCGCGCACGGCGCAGCCTGCGAAATCTCCGCTGCGGCCAGGGCGGCGGCTCTGTAGGCGCCCCAAGCTGGGCAGACCCGGAACCGATGCTCGCGGTCCTCGCACACGGCGCCGCAATGCGGGCACCTGCCCGGCTTGCCCCACTTCGCCGCCACCGATTCCGCGACGACGTTCCCAGACAGCACTGCGCGCAAGGCTCCAGCTGCGTCTGGCGCGAGCGCCCCAGATTCCAGCAGCCGCCTGGTCCCTGGTCGCCCAGCGGCCCATCCCGCGCGCGACATGCGCGAAGTCAGCCCGTTTGCCTGCCACGGCCGCCGCCTCCCGGCGCGCCCATGCCTCAAAAAGCACGGCGCGCGTGGCCACGAACTGCTGGTCGGCAGGGCGCCACCCGTCCGGGCAAGCAGGGACGCCTGGCCAGCGCTCAACATTGGTGCCGAGGCGGAACTGCACTAAACTCCAAGCGGCCGCGGCGACAGGGCTTACGCCGCGGCCGTGCCCGGCCGCTCGGGCCCCGCCCGCCAGAGCGCCGTGGGAAAGCGCCCTATGCGGAACGCCTTCGCCGCCGGCCAAAAGGGCGCGAGGGCGACGACGACGGCCGTCAGGTCCAATCGTCAAGTCAGGCTCAAGACCCCGAAGACAACCTCGGCGGCAGCCAATTCCCTCGCCGAGGGGCGGCCGCACGACGCGCCGTACAGCCCGGCCGTGGTGCCGGCAGCAGCGCCCAGCATGCACCGATGGCGGAACTCCAACGGGAGCCGCCCGACCCTGGCGAACTGCACCTCAGCGGCGCCCGCCCTGGGGCCGGCGACGGCGCAGCGAGGCACCCGGCCAGCGGCAGCGAACACCCCGAGGTCGCGGAACTGGCGCCCAGCAGGAATCAAAAGAGTCAGGGCCGCCAGACATCGGCGGAGCGCCGCAGTGTTGGCGCATTGTCGGCTCTTGACGTTGTTGAGCCGCCAGCCCATGGCGAGCTCGAAACGCACACAGACTTCTCCGACGCGCCGACAACTCCAAATCGACGGGCGCATTGTGGCAGGGAGCGCTACATACATATACATATATATATATATATACATATATATAGATATCCATCCATCCATCCATCCATCCATCCATCCATCCATCCATCCATCCATCCATCCATCCAGACAGACAGACAGACAGACAGACAGACAGACAGACAGACAGACAGACAGGCAGACAGACAGACAGACAGACAGACAGACAGACAGACAGACATATATATATATATATATATATATATATAGATATATGTACTGGAACCATCGCGCGCGCTTTCTAGCCCAGGCTGGAGGCGCGCTAGAAGATCTTGGACAGCGCTATCAAGCACAGGCGCGTGACACAGTCGTGCCTCCTGAGGGCCTCTTGGGAACCTCTTGGGTCGTCGTGGGGGCATCTGAAGGGCTTCTGGGGGGCTCTCCGTGCTTCCTCAATTGGCTGTTGGAGGCACTTCTTGGGTGCTTCTCAGGGGGGCATCTTGGGGCTTCTTGGGGTCCCTTGGGGGCATCGTCAGGGTTCTCCGGGCAGTCGGAAAGTGATCTTCTGCAGTCTGACGCAGTCAATTGGCTGTCTTGGCTGCGTGGAGGCCCGGCTTGAGGCCACATTGGGGCAATCCGGAAGCCTCCTGGGACCTCCTTGAAGCAATTTTGATGCATCGAGAGCACTGTTCGGCTATATTGGGGCCCCGTGTACGTCTCCTGTGAGCCTTTTGGGGCCTGGTGGGGGGCTTTGGGGGGCCTCGTCGGATCAGTTAGGGACTCTTGGGGCCTCCTGTGGGCCTCTTAGGGCGGAAAGCTTTGCTGTTGGGTTCGCGTTCCCATTCTTGGGGCTCTCTTGGGGCCCTCTTGGGGCCCTCTCGGGCCGTCTTGGGCGCCTCGGGCACAGTCTTGGGGCCCTCGTGGGCCGTCTTGGGGCCCTCTTGGAGGCCTCTTCGGCTATCTTGGAGCGGCCGTGGGGGCCACTTGGGCCGTCTTGGAGCGTCGAGATGCCAAAAGGCTGAGAACTCGAAAATCCATCAACAGCCGATGGGGAAACAATGTATCTTGGAACCTCTTCGGCCTTCTGGGGAGCTTCTTGAGGGCCTCTTGGGTCCCATTTGGGGGCCTCTGGGGTTTCCTGAGAGCCTCTCGGGGTGGAAGGCTCGGATTTTCGGTTCGTCTTACCCCTCTTGGGCCCCCCTTGGGGCCGTAGTGGTGCCCTCTCGAGCTGACTTGGGCCCTGTTGGAGGCCTCTTGGGCTATCTTGGATTGGTCGTGGAGGCCTTTTGGGCCGTCTTGGAGCGTCAGGACGCCAAGAGGCTGAAAACTCGAACATCAATCAAAAACATATGGCATGACATGGATGTGTACTCCTTGGGGCCTTCGTGGGAGGCTTCTTGGATACTCTTCGGCCCCCTGGGGGGCTTCTTGGGGCCTCTTGGAGCCTGTTAGGGGCTTCTCGGGGCCTCCTGAGAGCCTCTCGGGGTGGAAGACTCGGATTTTCGGTTCGTGTCAACCCTCTTGGCTCCATCTTGAGGCCGTCCTGGGGCCCTCTCGGGCCGCCTTGGGCGCCTCTGGCGCCGTGCTGGAAACCCCGGGGGCTGTCTTGTAACCGTCTTCGAGGCCTCTGAGGATACCTTGGAGCGGAAATTAAAGCCTCTTGGGCCGTCGTCGAGCGTCAGGAAACTCAAAAGGCGAGAACTCGAAAATCGATCAAAAACCAAAGAAAACAAATTAGTTGTGCCTCCTGGGGCTCCTTGGGAGCCATCTTGGAGACCTCTTGGGGCGTCTTGGAGGCCTCTCGGACAGTCAGGGACCAATTCTGGGGTGATCTCGGGCGGTCATTGGTCGTTTTCGTTGTCTGGAAACGCCAGGGCCGTCTTCGGGCGACTTTACAAGGCCTTGAGCGCCACGGCAGGGCCCCCGGGCCCCCCGGTGCGAAGGCCCCATCCCGGGCCCCGCCTCGTGCCCGCGACAGGGCGTCCCTGGGCCGTCTCGGCGCCCTCGTGGGGGCCTGTTGGGGCGACATCGGGTGTCTGAAATCCATCAAAAACCTAAGGACAAGCAATGATGTTGGCGTCCCTTTGGGCCGTGTTGGAAGCCTTGTGGGCCGTCCGGAGGCCATCTTGGGCGTGTTCGAACGATATGTCCTCGTTTCGGGGCCTCTTGGGGGCCTCTTGCGGCCCTTTTCGTCTGTGTTGGGGACGCGAAGCATCAACAACTCCAAGAACATCAAGCTGGGATTGCATGATGTTGACATGCGCGCGCGGTGGCGCGCGCATGTGAACTGCTTCAAAGTAGCACGTGCTGTCATCTGACAGGGACTGCTTCAAAACGCACATGTTTCATCAACGAATGATCACCGCACTGTCTGTTCTGCAATGGATGACGGGAGGAGTCGATTCCAGCTTGGATGATGATACTACTTGACGTTTCTGATGACCGATCGTGCAATGCTCACTTGAAAACATCATACGCGGGGGCGAGCGGATAACCCTGGCCGCAGTAGGGGGATCAACATATGTTTTTTGGGGGGGCGGCTAGGGATCGATAGGCTGCAACCCATGTGCGCCCTTAAGATTTCCAGGGAGGCCCCAGGGGCGGCGAGCCGCGGCAACGAGTGGGTCCCCATACCTACATCGAAGGAACGGCCCGACAAAAGCCAGGGGCCCATCCTGAACCCGAAGTGGTCCGTGTTCCAGCGTGTTGACTGTATGTCTCCTCCGCGCACCCAGTTTCTAGGGATGCCTCAAGGCCTTGAGAGAAAGAAGGGGGAAGGATTGGCATGAAGCAAACTGGTTCCGAAGGAAATGAGTCCTGGGCCCCAAGGGCCATCCACCAGAACCGGCGTTTCGTCCTGAGTCGTTCTGAGGCAATCCATGGGGCTCGTGGAGGGCCCCAGGAGGCCAGGAAAGTGCGAAAAACATCAAAACCCGTGTGCCTCAGGACCTGTCTACTTCATGGCGGAGGGGAGGGGGCACGGGGGTTTGGGGGCCCTGACTCCGTCGGCAGGTCACTCGGCCGGTCGGACTGTTAGACAGGGGCGTGGTCGGCGAGATAGTCGGCGGCTGAACGCGTCATGAGGCGCGACGGGTGTGCTGAAAACATCAGCCATGAGACGCTGACTGCGACGAGTGGCAAGAGGACAGGCAGGCCTGAGATGGACCGAATATCGAAATCGGATCTAATCAGAAACGAATCGCACCCTGTCCGAATCGGCGCGGAACCGGATCGGGATGGGTTGTTGGATCGCGGATCGGGCTCGGCCCCTGCTGGCCAGAGAGGGGATCGGCTCGTGCCGGGTCGGATCGCCGTGATCGTTGCTATCCTTGTCGTTGTATCGTTGTCATCGTTGATGTTGTTGCCATCGGTCGCTGTCATCGTTGCTCTCGTTGATAGGAATCGAAGCCCGGGGACCGGATCGGCTCGGGCCGTGAGCGGCCCCGACAGGCGGCGGCCGCCGCACGTCTCTCAGAAGCCTGCCCCCGCGGGTCCTCCAGCAGAGGTTGCATGGAATCCCTCGCGGCGTTCAGCCGCTGGACCTTGCCCGGCCCACGGATGTGGAGGCGGAGGGGGGAGGAGGGGTGAGGGAGGAGGGAGGAGAGAGGAGGGAGGAGGACGGCTGACACGGCAGCGAGACAGGCGAGGCGTGGCGGTGCGCGCGCGTGCTGCATGGGGCTTCGCACGGTCCCCATCGCGGGGGGACAACAAACTACAGCCAAGGCAATGATTCAAAAGCGGATGTCCCAAGAGACCTGGGCCAGCTTTCGATCGGCATCCTGAGTTTCCTCTTCCAACCCCCGTATTCCCCTTCGGGGAGGGGTTGACCCCTCCTCCATACCCCCTTCCTCTGAACCTGGAGGAAGGGGGTCGCGAGGGGTTAGAACGTCCAAGATGGCCTCGGCGAGAAGGCCCAAATTATTGATGTGATTAAGATTTGGCCACACTTTGGCATCTTGGGGAAAAAAATTAGGGATCTCCCCGAGGCTGCCCAAGGGGCCACAAGACGGCTCCAAGAGGTTCCCAGGAGGCCCCAAGAGGTCCCCGAGATGTCCCCGAGAGGCTTCTAAGAGACCCCCTAGAGGCATCAAGTGACACCCCAGAGGCACCCAAGATGCCCCAAGAGGCCTCGCCAAAAAGGCAAACATTATTGAGTTGACTAAGGTGTTGGCCACATGTTCAGGAGATCCAAATTAAAGAGCCCCCACCAAGATGGCCCCCGCGGCGCCCAAGGGTGCCCCAAGACAGCACCAATAGGTGCCCAAAAGGCCCCCAAAGGCCCCAAGAGGCCCCAAGAGGCCTCCCAGACTTCCCCAAGCGGCTCCCAAGGGACCCCCAGGAGGCCCCCAGAGGCACCCCAGAGGCACCCGAGACCACCACCACCCAAGAGGCCCCCGGGACGGTCAAGAGTCCCGTGAGACGCCCCAAGAGGCATTCAACAGACCTCTGGCCTTTCTGCTCGCCCTCCTCTTGCCTCTCCTCCTCCTGCTCCTCCTCCTCCTCGTCCTCCTCCTCCTCCTCCTCCTGCTCCTCCTCCTCCTGCTCCGCCTCGTCCTCCTCGTGTTCCTCCTCCTCCTCCTCCTCCTCCTCCTCCTCCTCCTCCTCCTCCTCCTGCTCCACCTCCGCTCCCTCCTCCTCCTCCTCCTTCTGCTCCAGCTCCAACGCTTCCTCCTCCTCCTCGTGCCCCTCCTCCTCATCCTCCTCCTACTCCTCCTCCTCCACCTCCTCCTGGTCCTTATCCTCCTCATCCTCCTCATCCTCATCATTATCCCAATGATATCAACATCCGCATCTCCATCCTCATCTTCAGCACCATATTCTTCTTCGTCATCTGCAGCATCATCATCATCATCATCATCATCATCATCATCATCATCATCATCATCATCATCATCATCATCATCATCATCAGCAGCATCCTCATCCTCATCCTCATCCTCATCATCAGCATCATCACCATCACCATCATCCTCATCACCATCATCGTCAGCATCATCATCACCATTACCATCATCATCATCATCATCAGCAGCAGCAGCAGCATCAGCATCATCATCATCATCATCATCATCATCATCATCATCATCGTCATAATCAGCATCAGCATCATCATCATCGTCGTCATCAGCATCACAATCAGCATCATCAGCATCATCATCAGCATCATCATAGTCGGCAGATTCATCAGCATAATCGGCATCGTCATTACCATCATCAGCATCATCATAATCATCATCGTCATCATCAGCAGCACCCTCATCAGCATCACCAGCATCATCATCATCATCATCATGACCATCAGCAGCACCATCATCATCAGCATCACCATCATCATCATCACCATCATCATCAGCATCATCAGCATCGTCAGCATCATCAGCATCAACATCATGATCATGATCATGTTCCTCATCGTCATTATCGTCATCATCAGCAGCACCATCATCAGCATCACCATCATCATCATCACCATCAGCAGCACCATCATCAGCATCACCATCATCAGAATCATCATCATCACCACCACCATCATCAGCATCATCCCCAGCATCATCAGCATCATCAGCATCAACAGCCTGAGCATGATCATGATCATCAACAGCATCACCATTATCATCAGCATCATCAGCATCATCATCATAATCATCATCACAATCAGCATCATCAGCAGCATCATCATAATCAGCAGCATCATCAGCATAATCGTCATCGTCATTACCATCATCAGCATCATCATAGTCATCATCGTCATCATCAATAGCACCATCATCAGCATCACCATCATCATCATCACCATCATCATCAGCATCATCATCAGCATCATCAGCATCATCAGCATCAACATCACCATCATCACCACCATCACCATCATCAGCATCATCATGATCCGGATCATGATCCTCATCATCATCATCATCATCATCATCATCATCATCATCATCATCATCATCATCATCATCATCATCATCGAATCGAATCGCACCGAATAGATCCACGGGAGGCAGTCTCTACACAAACGGCAAAACAACCAAGGCCTGGGAGCATCGCAAAACTGAGCGGATATCAAGTAAGCTCCCGAGACCTGGCCTCTCGGGTCCAGGGCGCTGCCTCCATGCAGAGCGGCCCGCCCCACGGGCGCGCAGCCAGGTTGGTGCCCCGCTTCGGAATACCGCCCCCAACCGCGGACATCGGGCCGCCCCCCCTTGACGACCCCCTACTGGGTCTGGGCGTCCGGCCCCACAGGCATCCGACTCCCAGACCTGGACAGGCCAGCAGGACTGGCCAGCAGATGCCTCGGAGACCTGGGCGGCCCCCGAAGTCCAAAGGCGGGCGGCGTTTTCTGTATAGTTTTTGTGCTCCAGCTTGGTTTCTGGTCAGCTTCCGTTGTCGTCGTTTTCGTTGACGACGGCATTTTCGTCGACGACGACGACGACGACGAAGACGACGACGACGACGGACTCACCACCCGCCGACGGCGGCGGGCGCCGACGGACGCCGACAGCACCCGTAGAGGCAACCGCGGAGGGGGGCGGAGCATCTTCCGCACAGACTCGGGGTTGAGAGGAGAGTAATATCCATATTGACTAATTGGGCAAGAGTGCGGAGGGTGCCGAGGCGAGAGCGCCCCCTAAGAACGGCCGAAGACGTCCCAGGTGGAAAAACACATACTAAACACCAACTCGCTGGCATCCGGTGTATAAAACCATATGCGGAGGGGGGCGGAGAATCTTCCACACACTCGGGGGTGAGAGGAGAGTAGTATTCGTGTTGTGTAGTGGTAGAGGTAAGGAGGATTGAACATGAGATGTGCCTTGGAGAGTGATGCACGCCGAGGAGATAGTGATGATGCCCGGGCACGGCCATCACTGAAAAGCTCACTCACCTGGAGAGCGCCAGCGCGAACCAGGCGGCGAGCAGGCACGAATGGCCTGGGCGGGGCCTAGCACGCGGGACAAAAACGCACCACGCGTGGACCCAGACCTCGGTAAAACGCCACGAGGCCGGGACCAGACGGAGCCAGGAACACCGACAGCACGAGGCATCGATTCTATTCTACCTCTATGCGTGGTGATCTGCTGCAGGGCTGGGCACGCTGAGACAACTCACAAATCAGGGAAACCGCCACCAGACTTAGGCGGCAGTCGCCTCTGCAGTCTGCTGAGCACTTCAGTGCCAGCTTTTGTAGGAGGCAAGCACTCCGATCTCAAATTCCGTGGGTTCTCAACACAATGACACCCACAGATTTCACAAAACAAAACTCCTCGATATGTGGCTAGCTTGTGCGATGCGTGGCACAGCTCAGCCACTGGATGATACAGTCCCCCACCCACTCCCGCCTCCCGACTCAAGGTCATCAGGAGGAGGAGAAGGCCCCCTGCGAGGAGGGACAGGTGCACTCCTAGCAGGGAGGGCCTGAATTCGCTGATGTATTTCTGCACGGGGTTTACATATACTTGGCCAGAACTCGCAGAGAAGACCTCGACGACTAAACGAGCGCGCACAGAGGCTGCACTTGAAAGACGTCGAGCGGACGACACATTGGTGACCATAACCTTTAAGCCTGCACAAACGCTCGTGCACAGAACGCACAGACTTACGAGTACCGACAGCACGAGGGAAACCGGACTGAAAGGCAGGCGCCGCCCACTGGGCCGCCGCCAGGCTCTGACTAGCTGGCCGCACGAGGAGGAGGAGTACTGGAGAGAAGAGAGAGGAGAGAGGAAGAGAGGAGAGAGGCGGGAGGAGTAGGAGGAGGAGAAGGAAAAGGCGGGAGGAGAGAGGAGGGAGGAGTAGGAGGAGGAGAAGGAAAAGGCGGGAGGAGGAGGAGGAGGAGGAGGAGGAGGGAGGAGGAGGAGAAGGCCGAGCTCCGCACGCGCTCCTCCACCGGCTTGACGAGGAGGTCCACCATGGCGCCGCCGCGCGCGCAGGGCGCGGCGGCCCCGCGGCAGCCGCCCGCCCCTGCCGCCTTGAGGCTCGCGGCGGCGCGCAGAGATCCGCCCGCTCCGCTCCCTGGGGAGCGAGGCGAGCGGCTGAGCGGCGAGGCGACCAGGCGCCCGGCCTCCTCGGCGCGGGCCCTTAGGGGCCCCCCTCGCGGGGCGCGGGCGGTGCAGGGCGGCGGCTGCCGCCGTGAGCGGGAGGGCGAGCGCGCGCGCTCGTCGTCGCGTGTGCCCAGGCCTTCCCTGAGATCTGGGCGTTGGAACGCGTCCTCACTGGGCGGCGTCGCCCAGGCTCGGGCCCCAGGACTACCACATCCCGATGCGGCTCGAAGCATGCTGCAGAAAGATGGGGTCTACAGTCAACCCAGAAAATAAGGACGCGCGTTAAGGATGCAAGAGCCTTGAAGGCCATGTCAACACTTTGCGAGCGGGGCGCGGCCAGCGAAGGCGGCCAAGGATGGGCCGAAGGGGAAGGATGCAAGGGTAACCTCGGAAAGTTGCTCATCCTTACTATGCGGGGTGACTGTAGGGCTCTGGTGGTGCCTTGTCGTGATGCTTCCGTTATTTCACGATTTGCGCGCCGTCGGATCTCAGGGTTCCCCTTCTTGCAGGGGCGCTGCCCGTTGGCGCGCAGCGCGGCGGGAGCAGGAGCGCACAGGCAGGCGCCGGTGCGCCGCGATGATGTGGAGGCGGCGGTCGCAAAGGGGCCATGGAGGATGCACTGGGAGGAGGCACGAGGCGATAGGCCCCCTGGGTTAAGGCCCCTGGAGACCGTCCCTGCGCAGCCTGCTTTGCTCCTCCTCCTCCTGCTCCTCCTCCTCCTCCTCCGCCTCCGCCTCCTACTCCTTCTCCTCATCCTCCTCGGCCTCCTCCTCCTCATCCTCCACCTTTTCCTCCACTCCTTTTCCATATGAATAACTCCTCCCTGTCGCACCACGAGGCAGGTCAAAGGGCGCGCCGGGCGTTTCGCCTGAGACTTCCTTACCATTTACGATCCTGGAGCGCAAAAAATGGCAACAGCTCCACAAATGGAGGGCGGGCGGTTTCGAACATGTGCCTCTCACCTGAGCACCGCGCACATTCGTCTTGAATTTGCAAGAGCTTCACGGATGGAAGGGCGGGTAGATTTAAAAATGTGGCGCTCGCCTTCGCGCCGCGCACATTCGTCTTAAACATGTGCAAGAGCTTCACGGACGGAGGGCGGGTCCTCAAAATGTGGCTCTCACCTTAGCGCCGCGCCCATTCGTGAAACAAATGCTTGAATTCCACGAATTAAAGGCGGCTCCTTTTCACAATGTGGTTCTCGCCCTCGCGCCGCGTACATTCGTTTCGAAACTGCGCACGAGTTTCACGGATTCCCAGTGTCAACGTACCATCATTGTGCTTTGGAAAGATTCAGGCTTGCCAGGGTTCAACAATTACTTTGACTTGCAGGTGTTGAAGTCTCCGGAATAGCGTTCTGGCAGAATTCAGGATCGTCAAGACAACACAATCAAGTTGATTCGGGGCGTTGGGGTTCCGAGAATGATGTTTTGGCACGCTTCGGGATCTTCAAACGTTTCTCACAACAGGGCACTTTCCTCAATGGAAATGAATCCGTGTAGATGCCTACGAAGAGTGGAGGGAGGATGTATTCCAACATCGTTGGTAAGCATCGGGTTTACACTAGTCCTTTTCCTCCTCCTCCTCCTCCTCCTCCTCCTCCTCCTCCTCCTACACGCTGGGCAAGACGGGTCTGGGCCCGTGGGCGGACCGCGAGTGCCAGCGGCCCAGAAAGGCCGGGCGCGACTGCCGCAGGGCCTGGCCGCCAGGCAGGACGCCGCCGTTCCCGCTGGTGGCGGGCAATTCGACACGGAGACGTCGCCGCGTGGCCGTGGAGAGGCGAGTGAGCGTCCCGCGGAGCTACGCCGCGATGGTCCCGACCTGGTCGCAGCTGCAGGGGCCAGGCCAGGCCAGGTGTCGTTGGGCGGACGACCTCGACGGCAGCTACCTGGCCGCAGAGCCCGCGGGCGACCGCGAGCAGCAAGGCTTGGACGACCACGACGTCCAAGAGCATGTGACGAAGCGCATGCTGGAGCGCGGCCTCGATGAGGCAGACACCTCGGGCGAAGATACCCCGGCCAACATGGATCCGACGACCGAGGAGGAGAGGGTGCACATGCTGATGCAGGAGCTGCACCTTCACAGCTTGGACGGGGAGGGTGGGTTTGTCAAATTTTCCGCGGGCTCGCTGGTCTTTGGTGCGAAGGTCATGGCTGACATCATCGAGGACGGGCTGATCTAGGCTGCTAGGAGCGACTCTGCGCAGTGGACTCCTGAGCGGGCTACCGCTGGTACAGTCCATCGGTTTTCGTCGGCCGCTGGGCCCATCGTCGCCATGATCGGACTCGGCTCGGACGCTCACAAATTTGGACGCCCGAAATGGGTACGGAAAAAATGGGTACGATGTCCAACAACAGATTTTGTCCAAAACCGACAGTGGCCGCTGTTGGGCAAGCGGCCTTCTGTCTTCAACGGACGACGACCGCGGCGACGCTGACAGCGAGCCCTGTTCAGAATGAACGGGGGCTGCTGTGTGACTTCGTACCTCTTGTTTCCGTACCCATTTCGATCGTCCCGAGGAGAGCTGGGGGCTTAACCCCGGATGGGCCGAGGGGTTGAGCCGTGGTGCCTTTGGGGGCGGTCGTCCAGGGCCCTGCCCTGCGGCTGCCAGGCGCGTGTCTCTCGAGACCTGCGTGGTGCGCAGGCTGCCCCAGACGGGCGAAGCTTCTGGCGGCGTGCACAAGGGGGTAGAGGGAAGGGGAAGGCTGCTTAGAAGGAGCATGCTTCTCAGAAGTCGCCGGCCCTACATCTACAGATAAGGCCCGCGCCTTCTAAGAAGCAGGGGTGCTTCAGAGAAGCCATCGGCCCTCCCCCATGCCCCCCTCTGCGCGGGGCCGAAGCTTCGCTCAGGCCAGGCGATCATGCCTTCACACTTCGGCCTTTTCACATCGTGGGAAGAGACACGCTGTACGGCTGTTGCGTTCGGACTCCTCCTTCCCCTCCATCTCCATCTCCTCCTCCTCCTCCTCCTCCTCCTCCTCCTCCTCCTCCTCCTCCTCCTCCTCCTCCTCCTCCTCCTAGTGCGCGTCTCGCACTCTCGATGAACAACCTCACATAACCCCCAAGGTTGGGACTCGCGAGCGACCCCCGCAATCCTTCTTACATCCTGCCTCCACCGCTGCTGCCCAGTCCTCCTCGGCCATTTCGCTACCCCGGTGCTCTTGTTCTCTCCCTTGTTAGGGCAAGGTGCAGGTGGTACTTAGAAGGGCTGGCGGTCGGCTTCAACCTAGAAATCACAAGCCAGAGGCTCAGGGAAAATAATCGTTTCTTGTATTCCCCAATCCGTTTCATCCACTCCGCCACCAATCCCATCCTCTCTCCTCCATCTCCTCCACATTCCTCCTCGTTCAACGCTGATCTGTTTTCTCCAATCCCCTGACCTCCAACACGCTTGGTCTCCTTGGCCTACCTCATCGAGACATATCGGGTGAGCTCACGTCCTATCTATCCGCATGACCTTGCGTGTTGGAGGTCAGGGCACTGGCACCCCACAGTGTGCGTCAACTCGGCATGCACGCGCGTGCACCAGTACGTCTACTACAAGTACACGCACACGTGTACAACTGCACAGTACGCACGTATACTTGCAGGGGTACAAACGCCAGCATGGATGCGCATTGTTTGTCTAAGCGTACCGTATGTATACTTACGCACTTGCATACACATGGCGTCCGCAACTACACAAGCATCGAATGTCAAACCGTTCGTGCCCCCTCACCGTGTCGGAAGCTTTGGGAGGGGAGTCTCGGGCTAAGTTGCAGGCAGGCCCCAAATGGTTCCCGAAAGGCCTTCCGAAGAGGAATCAGAAATCTTTCTCCCGTGGGGCCCCGTCTGTTCATGTTATTGTTTTGGCATTTGTCAGGCCCCCGCAGCGCCGAGCTCCCCGCTCGGCGAGGTTCTCGAGAATCTCAGGTCGCCTTGCGACCCGCCCGATTGGCAGCCATCTGCCGCCAACCACCTCACCATCACTTCTGCTTCTTCTGAAGCAGCTTCTTGCGGGGCCCGCCGATGCCCTTCTGAGCGGGCGCCGTCACCGAGGCGGAGCTCGCCGCCTGGATGCTGGATGACTCGACTGTCTCAGCGGCGTCGGACATCTTCTCGCCCTGGCCCCGATGAGGGGCAAACACGTCGGAGGCCGCGAGCTTCTTCTTCAGGTTCGGCGGGAAGTCCTCGAACTTGCACCGCAACGTTCCAGAGATGTACTTGTTCATCTCGGCCAGCTTCTCGTCAACAGCCTTTATCTCCTGGGCGTCCTTGGCCGTCTCCAGGGCGATCACGTGGGGGAGCACGCAGCAGCAAGACAAGATCTTCGCTGCTTGGTTGTACATCTCCTCGTACTCCTGCACCTTGTCGTTGAACGTCTTGATCTTGGTCGCTTGCTCATCGGCCCATCCCTTCATGCGGTCTGGCAGCTGCGAGCACATGTTCTTCCAAGTCTGTAGTTGGGTCGCTGCTGAGTTCACCGCTTGGGCGCCCTTGTCGACTTCTTTCGGTTGCGTGGTCTTCGTGAGGTCGGGGTAGCTGGAGAAGTCCCACTTCTCGACTGCTTTGTAGATGCCTGTGTACGCGTGCACGAACTGTTCCATCAAGTCGAGCTGGTTAACCTTGTCAATCATCCTGTTGAATGTCGCATCCCAGTCGGCCCGAAGCTGTCCAATATTGCGTTGGAAGTTCGGCCGAACCGAAACTAGCGTTGGGTGGAGCTTCTCAGCTTCGGTTGCAAGCTGCATCGTGATGGTGAGGTCAAGCAGGCCGCCTGGAGACTTGCCGTTGGCCCGCTTCGCAGTCGCCTCCTCCATACGCTCGAACGCAGCCTGCGCCTTCAGGACAGGGAGGGCCCCCTCAGGCAGGTCGCTCGAGAACTGGCCGAACAGGTCAGCCAACTTCTTGTGCACCCCGCGGCCGACGACACCCGAAAGAACAGACACGATGCATGCGCCGACATCGTACGTGTCCATAGTGTACAGCAGCTTCACGTATGCAGAGATCTCTGCCGAACTTGTTCCAATCAAGACCCAGTGGCGCGCGGTCTCGGCTGCCGCGTCATTCGGGCATGGGAGGTTGGCGCAAGCACTCTTTGGATCGAAACCCTTGGTCTTAGTCCACGCCTTGACAAAGAAGCCAACCGCGGCGTCAAAGTCAAATGACTCCACTGCGTCTTTGCCGTGGTGGATGTCGGCTGCGATGGAGACCGCAGAGGCGCAAGCAATCCGAAGTTCTTGAACACCGTCGGGCAACTTGAACGGAACCAGCATCGCGAAGTACTCCGTCAGGAAAGCTAGGAACTCCAGTGGACTCAAAGCTTCATCTGGGACATCAGGCTGCCTGTCAGAAAGACCGTACGTGTATAGATCCGAGGCCTCGCGATTGCTGAATACATATTCGAAGAGAACGGAGAGCTGCTGCTGCTCGCAGAAGGCCATCACGTCGTTGCCGAGATGAAGCATCAATCTCGCGAGGTCCCTCATCAGGCCAACATGTTTGTCCCTCATGTGCTCAACGTCAGCGCCGTCCATGCCGACCACGCTCACATCCTCGACGCGCGTCGCGCAGTCGCCGAACACGGCCCCGAGCTGCTTGATCGTCGCCACAGTGTCGACGTCTTCCATGGCGTCGACCAGCACGGAATAGGAAGCCTCAGGGCCTTCCTTCAGCGCCCCCTCAAAAGCCTCAACCAGCTGCTGCACCTTCTCGAAAGCCTCGCCCTGGCACATGCTTGTGACGCGGGAGAACTCGCTGTGAATGTGCACCATCTTATCCCAAGCCGTCTTGCCGTGTTGCACTTGCATGCCGCAGATCGATCTGGTTTGAGCTTTCAGGCGAGGGCTTACCTTGGCAGCGTTCTCCACGATATTGATGAAGATCTGGCGAATCGACCTCTCGATGCTGTCAACGTCACCCGACTCATGCTTCAAAGAAGCGGCCAGCATGAGGCCGATCGAGCGGACAGTGTACATGTCGACCCACGCTTGAGGATACCAACCATTCTCCAGCATTTTGAAAGGGGCCTTGACGTCTACCGTCTCGATGGGGGCAGTCGTCATGCATGGGAGGTGCGCGTCCAGGAGTTGCATGACGCCGACGATCAGCTTCACGTCGCTGGACTTCAACAGCTTGTCTGCCAAGGATAAGGTGGCGTTCTTCTGGCCTTCGGAGACTGCTTGGGCCAAACCCTCGGGTCCTCCAGGGGCGAACAACAGCCGGCCACACCAACTCAACTTTGAAAGACATTCGCCCGCTTCTTGGGGCCGATGGGGGCCCAGGAGACGGCACCACCAGAAATCATGGCAATCGTTTCTTCGGTCCTCCGAGGCTCCTGATTCATGATATCCCCTCCTCTTCCTTCACTCCTTCCTATCCTCTGGGCCCTCTGTCTCCTCCTTCCTCCTTCCCGCGAGTCCTCGGCCGCCCTGTCGAAGACGCCCCAGGATGCCGAAGCTGGTCTGGAGCGGGCCGTCGCGCGCGTCGAAGGCGTTCAAGGCCACTGCGAACGCGTGCACGCACTTGTCGCCGACGTCCCTGTCGAATATGTTCTCAATGAGGTAGTGTATGTTCGTCGTCAGCAGGGACATCATCGCTGGCCTCGTGGACATGAGCATGTGGGCCTTATCGTCCAGAGACGGCTCGAGTACGACGCTGGGGAAGTCCTCCTTGCATCTATCGAAGAAGCGCTGCCTGCCCTCCAGGGTCTCCTTCACCTCGAACAAGCTATCAGAGATCTCAGCCGCCTCTGGGTTGCTAGAGATCTCGCCTGCTTTTCGGGCTAGCGAGCCAGTTCGAATCATCAAGGCCATGAAATCACGGTGTCGGCTGGCCGACTCCATGTGCTTCTCCCAAGAATGACTTTGCTCGAGCTTATCTCGCATGGCCTTGGCATTCTCGATCGCCAGCTGGGGCCCGCTGCGACGGGGTCTCCTTGGCTTGGTCACGTCGGAGGCCTTGGAGATTCCATCGCCGCCGTCGCGCGAAGCCTCGGCAACTGGCGTGACTACGGCGCGCTGGCGCCCCACGCCGAAGGAAGCTGAGCCGCTCGAGGCTCTGCTCTGCCTGCCGACGCAGCTGATGGAGTCCTGCGGCCCCAGCCCATCATCATCCTCACGAAGGGTATCGGATACCGCCTGCACCAGTGGGCCGCCAACAAAACGCAAGCCCGAGCCCGTGGGGGGCGTGCTCACCTCCTCC